CTCTGACTTGGAGGTTGCAGAGAACAAGATGAACAAACGATGAAATTTCTTTCGAGGTGATTCAGAGAGTTGAAGGTAAATGCGTAAAGCACGCACCGGAAAAAGTGACAGGTCAGCATGATCTTGAGAACCCAAGATGGCAGAAAGTGGAGGAATGTGAAACATTCTAGCCTCTTGGCCAGGAAGCTGATTCTTGGCTAGAAAATCCCACCGTAAACCAAGCTGGACATCGCAGTGGACATGTTGGTCAAACTGTACCCAACCATAATCGATAGCATGAAGCTCAGACGCCTGAGCCGACATATCTAAGGAGAGGAGAAACGCTTTTTTTGAGTCAGAAGGTCAAAAGAGACTGTATCCAGAGGTTCATAGGAGTCGCAAGTAAGATCAAGAAGAATGACGTTAAGATCCGAATCAGGACGGAATTTACGGACTTGATCTTCCAGAGAAAAAGCCGAAGAGTTTTTGAAGGGCAGGAACTTTCATGAGCTTGTCTCCCAGAGCCGATGGGACAACCAAACTGATTGCAGCCAAATAAGTCGAGATTGTCAAACCCTTTAATGTGCGGGAACGTTGTGCGGGAACACTGTCTTCTTAGCTGGAGTAGGTACCAACGAAACCTCACTGCAATGAATTGATTCAACAGTTGATCGTAATTCCACCGTGTCATTATTGTCATTCAACGCGGGTGCTGTACGTTACCTCTGTCTGACATCGTAACAATCATCAATTTCAATTTGAGTCGCTATCGCTTGAGTCAGCAGTCAATGACCCACTTCTTGACCCCGATTCCAGTTGGTTGACAGACGATGTACCCAGATCGACACAAGAGGGCAAAGTGTCAGCTGGAGACGGCTCAGTTGAACTTTTGTCTCTGGACGATAAATCATTGACGAGGACAGCCTCCCTTGCCTGATCTCGAGATATATATATATAAAATCTTTTATTCCTCCATAGTGAAGAATACAGAAAGAGACATGCATATTGAGCCAGTATCACGTTTTCGTAATCAGTCAAAGGCAAGAGTCACAATGAGTCACTGGAACACAGCTTTGTACATCATGGTGATGTATTTTATACACAGAGTGGAAAACTCAATATAGTCCTCTTTGATCAGAGGGAAGTCGGTTGTACACGACAACAAGCACTCAGTAAGTTCAGTTGGGTTCATATTGTGAAGTTTCATGCTGAATTTGGTTGGCCCAACATTGATTAGGCCTATCCACAGTTTGTCTCGAGTTGCATCTGTGTATCCACACACAACTACAGCGTGAGTCAAGAGGTCATCATACATCAATCCACACCGATGACACAGCCCTGCTTCACATAGGTCTCTCACTGTAGCACAGGCTTTGATGACAAAGTTAGCTTGCCGTCTGAGTGATGCATCAAGCAATGACACCGTCCATGCAGGATGGACTTCAAGCTGGCGATGTAGCCGCTGGAACTTGTGAAGATCAGAGTCATCTGCCAACCGACTGTTCCACTGTGCTACATGATACTCTCTGACTGACGTCTTCACTATTCTCTTCCACTTCCAACGCTCTAAGAAGGACCCTGATTCTAGGAATTTTTCCAATCGACAATAGAGTAGGTACTTTTTGAGCACCCTGACTACATCAGGCACATACCCAAACGATGACGATGAGATGTTGTGTAAGTAGCACATGAACAGCTTGTGAGGTAGATATCTGTGGTCCATATTCAAGAGACCACCCAGGAAACACAACTTCCGCTGATCTATAACTGCCTCTATAGGCAACACTCCAAATAGTCCAAGACAACTATCAGTTCGAGTGGTACGAGGCAGGTCTTGGATTGATTTAATGACGTGTCTGTAAGATCTCTGCAGCATTAAGATTTCAACTTTGGAAAGGTTAGTCCACAGTTCCGATCCGTACAGGGCTTTGGGAAGAAACACACGGTTAACAACTGTCAGGCTGATGATTGGGTTTGTAAACCGTGGGTGAAACCCACAAGATGTCAGTGATCTCACACAGGACCGCAAGGAAATGGCAGCTTGTGTCACATGCTCTATGCTTGACATGTTGCCTGACAAGACTATTCCAACATGGCGGATAGATTCCTTCTACGGGAGAGGTTGGTTATACAACCTGACTTCAACCTGCTTTGGCTGCTGAGTTGGCTGTGGTTCATGTTCTTCTTTGCATCTAACATGGATCTCCTCAACTAGGGATTCTATCTGCTCACAGAAGGAAGAATTGAAATTTTCTTGGTCTTTGGCAGCAAATACATCCTGAAAATGGTTAGCCCAAGCATTAATATAGCGCTTCTTCTTATAGCGCCGATCAGCCTCCTGCTTAGCAATAGCTCTCAAATATGCATTGAAATTGTCCTCGGACAATGTATCACACAGGATGCATTTCAGGTCAACTGAACATGGAGCATAGCCGTCCTTCGCAAGGCAGGACGGACTACTGTGGGGGCCAGACTTAGAAAGTTTCCGTTGACATTTTAAACAAGTGGAAGCCATGCTTTATTCCAATAAAACGTGTACACAGGATATTGTGCAAAAAGTGTTCAAGTTCACGGAAAAAAAATTACCGAAGCAACAAGAAAAAGGGTAAGTAGAAACTTTACTAATCAAACTCTATCAACACTTCAAAAAAGGAAAAATATAGAGCTCCAGAGGTACAGACAAACTGCGTATCTGCATAAATTACGCAAATATTTATGTGAAAACTCAATTACTATTATGTCTATTGCGTACAAATATGCTTGAATTTTTGTACATATTCAATGTATTTGATCCTATATGCGTACACCCAAAAATGTCAAATCTTAGCTTGCGTACAGGTGGATAGACAAAATAACTGAGGTATATTGAAAGGTTCGATTAAAACACATGAAATTGGCGAATTGCAGTCTTTCTTATTGTTTCTCATATTGCAGATCAAATATATATAACAAACACATAAACCAACTTTTAAACTTTATAATATTTTTACAATTGATGGAAAATGGCAAAATACCCAATTGAGTTTCAGTGAGGTGGGTACAATTTATTAGGTTACTCAAAGGAAAATCAGGATACCCAATTGAGATGAACACAAGTGAGTACATAACTCAATGACTAGACTAACAACTAGTCTCTGAAATGAGCAAAAAAATAAAATTCATATCTGGGTGTAACCATCAAATGGCACATTTATGGATCATGCTTGATTTGTGTACCAAGTTTACCATGTGTACCAAGTCACGTTTCCATGCAAACTGCAAAAAATAAAATTCATATCTGGGTCTAACCATCACATGGCACATTTATGGATCATGCTTGATATGTATAATTTAGGAGATGTGCTTCGGACAAGATGATATTCTTGTATCGACGGATGAACCAACGGAACTCGTTTCTATATTCCCCGCAACTTCGTTGTTGTGGGGGATAACAATATGCCATAAGATCCCCATGACAATGTCTTTTCAAAGTTTATGGATAAAGTCACAAATGCCTACATTGTTGAGGTACACTGCTTTGAGCCTAATGATTTTTATTTCTCTGTTTGTCTCTTCATCATGCAAATCAAGGATGACACAATAACAGTAGCATGGCTTGTATTTTCTACTGACTTGTCTGAATAGGGAGAATTTCGAATGTCAGTGATTTTCCACTCCTGGATGGAGAACAAAACAACACATCTTCACCACTTAAGTACTTTTCAATCATTGTATTCTGATTTGGACGAATGCTATGTATATTTGCTTTCATCCTCATCAAAGTTCCAATTCATTTTTACCCTGAGATGGAAAACTTTTCGAAATGATCCCCTCTCCTCGCCAGTGTAAAATGAAACAGTTAAAGAAAATACTTTTATAAGTCATCAGGTCTCTAGTGTAATCACACACGCTGTTTGTCTGGAGTGAGAGGACAGGCAGAAGCAGGAGGTCTTGGCTCAGCGTGGGGTCTTGGGGAGTGGTGGGGGAGGCTCCCCATGAGTTAATATTAAACACTAGTGACAGCTAGAGATCAACTGATAATTACAAGCCATATTCTGGCTTGTGAATTCAGCAGATTGGTACAGACCCTGAAGCTGAGTAAATCTAGACTTGCCACATTTTCTAGACTTGCATGGCCTTTCTTGGATTTATTTGCTTCAGGGTCTGTACGACAGACTACTCAATGACCCAAAAACTTATCTGGAGCTCTGGAGCTCTATTCCACACGTTCTAGAGGTACGAAGCGCAAGAAAGTTTGGTGACAGGTAATGGATGGTAATTGCACAGGTGGGGTTGTTTTGTGTTTACACCTTGTTTCCACTCAACTTACGGTAGTAGCTTAACAGGTAGGTATAAGCATTAGTACAGCTGAATGTAAGCTAAAACATAGGTTTTGAAAAATTTCAGTAAAATTTGTCACATTTTCCATTAAATTAATCATGCTGTGTGTTATTTTCATAATGTTAGTCATGCCTCCAGGAGACACTGAAAATATTTCATCAGTGCCATTTCAATATCAACGCAAATGAAGCACTATTTCAATCCCTGCCGAATATGTACATTTACAAGGACCTTTGTCATGTATGAATATGATGACTTCTAAATGCTTGAAAACTCACTGCTGAAAGGTAAATTAACAGAACTTGAAGTGATACACATAAAAAGTGAGTGTGTATGGATGAATGGAGTATGGATAAACTCCAAAACATAATAAAGAAGTTGACATCCATAAATTCACACATTCTGTACACATTGTTTCTATGCATAATTAAAAAAAATTATTACCTTGTAATGGATCCAAAAGTTATTGCCACTTACATCAAGGTTTGTACAGGTTTTGTTAAACAAATATTGTACATCTGTTTGGACTGAAAATTTATTGCACTACGTTATCATCACCTGAAGACATCAAGAGCAACACTGACAAGAAAAAACATAATTTGGACTATTACCCAAGCTGAAGTTAGCAAATATATCCATTAAAAAAACGTTAATAGAAACAGATAAGCTATGTACATCAATGTTATTATATCTATACTCACAGTTTTTTTAAATTCTCTGCATTCATCAGGTGTCAGGGTGTCTGCCTTCGCTATCAGGGGTATGATGTTTACTTTATCATGGAGCCGTTTCATGAACTCCACGTCTAGAGGCTTCAACCTGATATTAAACACAACATTAAGCTTCACTTTAATTGACATCATCTATTTGTTCACACAGTCAATGGGTTTGAAATAATGGAACTTATTCAAATTGTTGCAGATCAATAAATAATATGTCACACTACAATAATTTATACTCCTGAAACACCCCATGTCCTCAGTGCAAACTGACACACAACCACAACCGTCACTGAGCCCATTCCCGACATAGTCTTAGCAAGGAGAGGGCTACTCAAAGTAAAAGATACAATATTTATTCCTGAATGAGGCATTGAAATATTCAGGCAAGTATTTCTATTATGACTCAAGCATCATTAAACTGTGCTGAGACCAGATATGACACTCTAGAACAAATCTAGGTGTCATCATTGGAGTGGATAAGAACGTGAATTCTAGCACGACATTGTGTGATACTTGACTCTGATTGGCTGAGAGCTCATCAAAAACGTACTTACACGTCAGTTAAAAAACCGCTAATTAAAGTGACCGATTCACCGTGTATGAATACAATGAAATGAACCCATTAACCTTTTGGGTTGTAAACAAACATGTCGGAAATCGGCCATTTCTACCTCGGCAGCATCTTTGATGTTTTTGAAGTAAAAAGCGAATAGTTTGAAGAAGAATGTCTTGACCCTAACCAAAGTGAAGAAACTTCGAAGCTGAAAACTTCGTCAGCAGCGCAAAAGCGGCAGTGTTCCGAGATACATCAAACTGGGTCAAGTTCTAGCGGGCATGACGTCGACAACACATGTCGGCCCACACGTCCTAACCTGACCTCTTCCGTCCCGGCCATAATGCCCAGTCCTTCCACTTCCACTGTCCATGTTTCCCACATAAAAGCTGGCATGTCCAAATTGGGAATAGAAGGGTGGTTATCAACATTTATTTCCGTGAACAAAGTTAGCGGCAACTAAACTTAGCGAGTTCACGGCTTGAGTTGGGGTGAGTCGATTGTCATACAGTAGGGGAGATCAATAATTTGCTTGAGAAAAATCAAATAATTCTACTTGCTCACAGTATAAACTGTATTTTTTTTATCTATGTATGCTAGTTGTAACAAATACAAGCATATTGGTTCCTGAAATAAAGCATTTATGTTGTTGAAAATGTCTTATTTTGTTCATTACACAACCTGTCCCTCAACTGGAAGATTCCAAGCGATTTCTAGGAAAAAGGTCCCTTCACGTGTTTCTTGCACGCCAAAGAGTCCGGTTTTAAAACGCTTATCAGTCATGCTAGAATGAAGATAAAGCTACTCTGTTTTCAATTTTGCGGTCTTTATCGTTGACTTAAAGAACACATAAACTTTTGTTTATTGTACTCTTTCCATGCCATTACATATGAAAGACGTGTGGTTAGTCTGAAGCAGAACACAAAATTCATTCTTAAAAAACTTTTGGTTAATTAATACCGAGCGATTAAAAGTTGCCAAAAAGTCGTCTGCTTCTATCTTGCCCGCCAACGAAATCACAGACACGTTACGTAACTCTGTCGCCAAAGCACTGCAGCGAACCGGAAGTGACGTTATGTGAGGAAGGATTTTCAGTTAGTTGTATAGAAAATGTGTAACAAGCTCGTCATTTTGCTGATTTCTTGATGTCAACAAAGACAAGCTGAATCTTTGCCGTCAATTTGCTCCCAGGAGTCGTGTGATGGTGTCACAATCAGGGATAAGTCTACCCCTGCGTCCCGCGTCTCTGATGCAATAAATTCTGACAGGACTCATATTTTTTTCACATGTGCGTCCTCTTGGATGCAATCTTTTGATGAAACACTAATGTTTATTTTTGTGGAGAGGCAATATCAAAGTAAACATGGCTAAATCTTCGTAGATTAACTTCCATTCTCAAATAATTGACGTGAGCTAATAAGTACACATTATTTTAAAACGATCGCAGCTTTCATTCGTCATGATATTAAGTTTATTTCCACGTTTCCAAAAATAGACATCTAGGTCACACCAAGGGAGGTAAGCTGTATGCAATGAGATCCGAAGATTCATTGCTCGAGCATGTGCAAAACTACCAACCTAGTTTTTACACTCTATAAATAGACACAAACACGCTAAGGGAGGTAAGCGATATGCAAATGAGGTTTTTCAAGACAAACTGATTGGTCAATGAACATTGTGACTCTGAATCCACAGTGTGAAGACAAAATCTGAGCTCTCAGTACCAGTTAGAGAAAAGCAGGAAGCTTTAGTCAGTAGCTGAACAACTGTTAAATCTATCTGCATGTAATTTGAAAGTGAAAGTGACATTAGACAGGGTTAAAGTTCTGCTGAAATAGAATGTACTCTGTTGTTTAAGGTTCTGAATCTTAAGTCCTGGAAAAGTAATCATATAAATGAATCATTTCATTTATAATTATGATGACATTTATGATATAATTCGTTCAATGTTAATAGTTAAAGTAAGACAGTTACTATTTGTGTTCATACTTGTTAAAGTGGCTTCCAGTTGGCATATTTCTTGTGATGTTATTTGTTTTTGAATCACTGAACAGAATGAAGAAATAAAACAAAACTTTGGTTGGAAATGTAGAACTTTATTCACAAAATATTACAGTGAAATAACATGGGTCTGGCTAGTAACTTTTATATTTTTCTAGTAAAAGAAAACATTTGCTTGTCAAAGGTCATGTAGAGCCCTGCTGTTATTTTTATAATAGAGGAGTCAACATGCCGCCCAGATAGATACTGTCAGAAAACACAAAGTTAGGACATTTCAGTCAGGTTGGCGGAATACTCATCGGTTATGGCTGACTTATGACAGGGAAGGTGATTTAATATTGTACTGATGTACTGAAAATGGTATGACACAAGATGCTAAATGCAGCAATTTTTAACATATAACTTTGACCAGACATCTCATCATAATGATAATAAACTGTCCGTTCAGGCTCCAAAACTTTGTGATGATTTCCAGGTTGCAACCCTCGATAACGTGTTCGGTTTTTAAATTACTTTTAGAGGTCTTAAATCAACGATAAAGGACCGCAAAATTGAAAAAAGAGTAGCTTTATCTTCTAATTTTCAGCTTTATCACATCAGAGAAAATGTTTCCACCACATAGCAGATGCCAGGCATCAGACATACAGACCATGACACAAGCTCATGTGCCTTTGAGTTAGCCTAAAAATTCATTAGAATGTCTGGCATTATGGTTTTGTACTAATCATGGTTATGTTATTTCCACAAAAACTGAATGACCCTTTGAACAGAATTGTATAGATGGGATATAGTAACATATGCTCAACAACAAATGTTTCTAAGATGCACAATTTTTCAGAAATGTAGAGTCAAAAATGTAAAACATCATGAACCAAATGTGAACTCATAGGTATTTTCTCCACAAGGAAAACAAGCATTGTCACTAAGGTGACATAATCCCCCGCTACAAATTATCAAATCAAACTTATAAAGTAATGAAAGTTTAAGTTAAATGTCAACAAAAACATGACCAGTCAACCTCTCTTGATATCTTGCTCTTAAGGTGTTCAAACACACACATATTTTCAAGACTGACTTTGACCCTGACATGAATGTCATAGTGTATGAAATCTGCAAAAATAGTACTAAAGAAATTGCTTATTGAAAAACATTTAAGGGAAGTCTTGAAAGTCTGAAGAAAATCCAGTGAACCGTTCTTGAAATATCTTGCTTGGTTTCAAATATGAAGACAATCCAGGGAACGGTTCTTGAGATAGCTCAACATGCAGGCTAACATGCTGAAATCTTCAAAGTGTCGCTGTGACCTTGAAAATTAAGTGAAGGTCACCAACATCGACTGGGCCCTGCGCCTTCCCTGGATGAAGCTTGGTGCCAAATATGAAGAAACTCCAGTGAATGGTTCGTTAGGTATCTCACTGACAAGCATAACCTGCAGGTTAATATGCTGAAATCTTCAAAGTGTCTCTGTGACCTTGACAATATTAAGTGAAGGTCACCAAAATTGACTTGGCCCTGCGCCTTCCCCGGATGAAGCTTGGTGTCAAATATGAAGAAACTCCAGTAAATGGTTCTTTAGGTATTTCGCGGACAAGCATAACCTGCAGGTTAATATGCTGAAATCTTTAAAGTGTCTCTGTGACCTTGACAATTAAGTGAAGGTCATCAAAATCGACTGGGCCCTGCGCCTTCCCTAGATAAAGCTTGGGGTTGAATATGAAGAAAATCCAGTGAATGGTTCTTGAGATAGCTTAACATGCAGGTAAAACGTGAAAGTCCCCTTGTGACCTTGAAATAAAGGTCAAGGTCACCAAACCTGGCTTGGGCCTTTCTTATAGTGTGATGAACCTAGGTACCAAATATGAAAAGAATCTAGACAACAGTTCTTAAGATATTCCAATTAATACGTACGGACGGAGCCTAATACTATATCCCCCGCTTCGCGCTAAATGCGCGGCAGGGGATAATAAGTAGAATTCAGGCCTTATTGGTGGTGTGATTAGTTGTTTACATGAGAAGCATGATCATCATGATAAGAGAATACCATGTTTGTCAGAAATAAAAAAATATCATTATTCTCATTGCTAATAATTCTGAGAATATTAGCTCCGTTTCTACACATCTACAAACTAATTAAAGGCAGACAGATAACGAGATGAAAAGGAATACTTGACAGAGATAGTATTCTTAGGATTATTAACAATAGTAACCATTGTTTTGATAATTTAGGAATCCTCTATCGTATGATTGCCAGAATACACCAGAAAGAAACAGGTTATGACTCTGGAACATCCCTTATATAGCTGACAGTAAATGAAGTGGATTCATATTCTATAATCGGTTGGGCTTCAGATAATAGAGAGTTGTCCTCCAATGCTACACCTTCAAAATTGTAAAACATACAGTCAATATGTATTACTGATTACTAGAACCTTCTAAGACACCATTATTCAGGTAATTATGGACATCATTTCTGATCTCTTTGACAATCTGGATTTTGGAGGAGGTATTGTGGCTAGGTTGGCTGTGGTTACCTGGCTCCTTCC